TTGAAATAGGTAACCTCAGCTGTGATTACCAAGGCATCGTCGTTCGGGATCTAAACTCCTTGGAGGTCGTCGTCGGTGAAGGTGATTGACTGGCTACGCTTCTTCTTGTATCCCCGATTGTCGATTTCACACAACCGCACATACTTCTTGCACCCTGAGCTACTCTCTCCTCCTGCGGCGATCCCTCCTGATATCACATGGATCACACCAGCGGGAGGAGCTTGGGATGGTGGTCGAGCATTCTCCGCAGGCTGTTCCTCCTATGTAGGTTTCTCGTTCTTGTTGACGAAACCGCTGAGGTTACCCGCGCCTGATCAGGTCCTCGATGTGGTTGCGCAGGTAGAAGCAGTTTTCCGTGTCGTGGCCATGGTCCCTGTGGAATTCACAGTACCTATTGCGATTCCTTTTGTTGCCTTGTGTTTTCATCTTCTCGAACCACCGGACGTAAATGCGGTCAGGGATTTGCATCAGAACCTCAGACTGCGGTGTATTCAACGGCGTAAAGTTTCGATATGTCGGCGGAGATATCTATGGTCTGTGATTAGGTCGATGATCTTGTCTGTTGTGGTCCTTATCTGATCTTTTTGACTTCCGCTCCTCTGTGTCTCTCCTCTTTTTATTGGGCCTTTCTTCCTCATCCCGTAGTTGTGCTTGTGCTTCTTCCGCATTGATGTATTTCTACGCATGGCTCATCAGCACAGCTAGGGTCTGCGGGGGGTTCTTGGAGATGGAGAAGTTGAATGGCGAAGGGCGGAGGCCGCGTTGAATAGCGGTGATGGCCACAGACTGGTTCAGGTTTCTAACCTGTAATGCCTCTTTGTTGAATCTTGCCAGGTAGTCTTTGAGGGATTCTGCTTTCCTTTGTCGCATTTGCATAAGGCTGGCTGAGGTCTTTTAGTGCTTATGGCTCGTTGTGAACTGTGTGCGGAACTAGGTTTCCAACTGCTCCCACGACGCTATGGAACATGGGGGCAGAGAAGAATACCACGTTAGGGTTGGACTTGTAAGGGTGGCCACTAGGGCTTTGCACATCAATTCCTCAGAAGATCCGTGCTACATCAGCTGAGCCTTCAACGTCTTGATGTGGTCAACGGGATCAATATTACCATCGTACTTATCAAGTTGAGGTGCCTGCCACCCTATGGGAGGCACCTCGTCCACGATTTCCTAGGTGAACAGCAGTTCCTTGGCGGTTGGCGTGGCTGGTTTTGCAGGTTGATCTACGGTTGGCGTTGTGCTTCTCTGGCCTTGGTTGCGGTCCAACTCTTCCAAGCATTGTCGAATGTCCCGGATTTTTGCGTCTCTGTTATCAAGGATCGTGGTACGCGCGGCTTTCTCCTTCTTGGACCGTGCAGAGCGGTCTTTCACTGAGCTGGACTCAGCGACGCAGACCACGCGAGGTGGCGTCCGCCTGCTGAGCCTCTCTTTGGCGGGATTCCACGTGGTTTGGTGCATCATGCTGCGGTTATCGGGTTCACGAGAACGGGCCGTGGAGGCAGATCTCCTTGCTGTGTCTTGCTTTTCATGCTCGAACCGCGCTCCCCTACTTTTCGGTCGATGTGTTTTGGGGTCCTTGGGATGAGGATCGTCCTTCGTACGTGTCGAGGCGTGAGGGGATACAACCCAGTTGGGCGGTGCCGCGAATCCTAGTGTCTGCATAATCTCAAAGATCTTATCGACCTTCTCTTGCATTGCTCGGAACTGCACAAGGTCAACCGCGACTGGAGATCAGCCTGTTGATCGTTCGGACTAGTTCTTGGGCATCTTGATCGCTTTCTTGATTACGTGATGAGGAACGAAAGATTTTCGGGAAAGTCTTTTTGTGCGTTTCCTACAGATGCCAATCTGATGCTGGTCAATCCGAGGTAGTGCACGAACTGAGGAGAGCAACCAGATAGTCCTTGCCAATAGGGCAGTGTCGAGCTACAAGGACGAAGCCGCGCTTCAAGACCTATGATCAAGAAAGGAGAAGTCAGAGGTCCGATGAGTTATCCCCAGGTAGGTACTCCAACGCTCAAGTCAGTAGGATGTAGTGGATGGTTGAGCCAAGCTACGTGGGTGCTGGTCCGAGCAGAGTAACAGTATGGGTATCAGAAGTTCGATCCCCTACCTTGAGCGGGGAATGCCTCTTTATAGCTGAAGACCCGTGTCTGGGTTGGATTAGGCTTCCAGGGTCGCCGAGATGAGGTTGACCGCCGAGGTTCTCGGGATAGAGTCCTATTCCCTAGCGGAGTTGTCTTCCTCTCTCTTCTTATCTCTAGTTGTGTTTATCCGCATGACGTGTAGCTAACGTGACTGAGGGGATAAGATGGGGGGCCACAATAGTAGCGTAGCTTGGCCGAGCTATCCCGACGTGGCTGGGTTATGCCGCCGTGGCCGGGCTGACTGGGCGATGATTGGGTGGCCATGTGTCACTCAGGACCAGCTCAGCCTTGACCCGAACACAAACTACTCTCAAACCCTTTCCTTTTACCTCCTCGATGGTAAAAAAATTCCCAAACCTAGCTAGTTTTCTTTTTAGGTGCTTTAGAATTACTAGGCCCAACATCATACTAGATTTGCTTGGTAACGGTAGCATTAGTTTCGACATGGAACCAAAGTGTAAGGGGGTCTGAGAGAAGCCAACCATTTTAATAAATATTAAAATCTAAAATTTATAAAAAATTCAACTAACCCGATAATTGCATTCCGTTCATGGAGTTCAGTCTGCCTATTTAATATTTCAACTTAAATGCAAAGCTTTTAAGTATCCCAAATTGTCAACTTCAACTTGAGACACTTGATCAAGCCTCCTTTTTGTTGAAATTTAAAAAATATTAAAAAAATTGAGAGTAGATTATAGAGTAGCATGAGAGTATGAAAATGGGAGATTGTATTTGATTGAATGAGAATGATTGTTGTTGCGATGAAAATGGGTAAGGGTTAGGGTATTTATAGGGGTTAGAAAAAATTGAATTGATCAAAATACCCTCTTAAATTAGTCGTTTATAGTTGTTGAGAGGGGGTATTTTGGTTATTTATAAAGTTTATTTATCACTTTACTTGAAATGCCTCCCCTAAACTTATTTATAGATAATAGGGGGGATATTAGTCATTTTCTACACCTCTTTGGTAAAACACACAAATACCCCCCAAAATATCTATTTATAGCTATTGGAGGTTTTTCTTGCTATTATACCCCTAATAACAGTTACAAAACAATTATATTCAGTCTGGGTTGTGGTGCGTGTCGCGTCTGTGTCAGGCCACGGGCCAAAATCCCTTGGCCCAACCCAACCCAGGAGGACATGCCAAACACGACCTAGTCCGTTTTACACCTCTAACTCCGACCATTGAAGGTCCCATTCCTAGAACATGAGAGAGAGAGAGAGAGGTTTGGTCTAGTGTAAGGGCACATGCCATGCACATTTGCAAGTGTAAGGCTGGTGGTGGATGTGAGGTGGTTTATACTCTTGAGGTCTAAGGAATTTGGCTTGGTTGGCTGAACCAAGAAGGGGAAAAGGGGTAGAAAAGGAAGTGGCCAGACCCCTGTAGTGGTTGCCTACATACCCTCCCTCGAGGGATCAAGTAAATACAGTTCATCGGTGCTGGAATTCTGATGATAGGGGGAGAAAACGATAGATGGCTGCATAGGGAGACGTAAAAGTGGTGATAATGATGAAAAAAGAGAGGAGATGGCTATTAAGGCCCCTTAAAATGGATGGGAAGCATCTTTTGAGTGCACATTCTAGAAATTTCTTAAGTTGTGTTTTTCTCATTTTACCCTCTTATTCTAGAATGTTCTTTCTACATATTTAAAACATGTGATTAAACCTCTTGTTAGTTGTCATTTCCTTATTTATCCTTTTGTCATTTAAATTATATGTCTATTTCCATTCTTGAATGTGCTTAGATGGATTTATTTCTAGAAATGTTAACCTATTATTTACATGTTTATTCTTATTTAAGAGTGCACTTTTGGTTTCTAGAATATTCTTCCTTTAGTTATATTAACTTTGTTATTGTGCTGGAATATTCAACACTTATATTAGTAAAAGTAGACTGAATTGACCCGGGTTTGATCTGAGGTTGGTTGGATTCTATACTTTTGTAGTCTACTTACATTAACCCTTTTAGGCCGGCAAGTAAAGAGAAAATATAAGTTTACATTATAATAAAATTTAACTTTTATGACCTACACCAAAACCAAGACAAGCATCATCTTCAAAATAGTATAGATAGATGTAAAACTAGTGATTATTCTTTGATTTATCTGAAAAACAAAAATGATAAATGTTTTAATAATAAAACAGCTCATCCTCAAAGTATTATTGATAGAGCTTTCAATTATCTGAGTGAGATAAAGAATGGAAATCTATTGACTGGTTCAATCCAAAACTTGAGACCATTAAAGTTAATTTTGATGAATCAAAGCCAACTGCATTGGTTTCATGTCGATTAATCATGTTAAAGCTTGGGCTGTTTGGTAAACTATAAACATTGTTACAAATTTCAAGGACTCCCCAATAGCAAATCAAGTGGTGGATTAGATTATATTGTATCCCGTGAGACCTTAGGTTAATTTTCTTTTTTTATTCTTGTGGCCAAGCTACCCAACTTTATTTTTTATTTTTTTGTAAAAATCCCTTAATGTCATATAAATATATTTACTATTACATATATTATTATAACAATTATTAAGTTGTTAAAAATCAATTAATAACTAATTAAATAATTTACTATAGAATAAGTAATTATTAAAAAATTAAAAAATCTATTATTATTATTATTATTATTATTATTATTATTATTCCTTGTGGGATACTCCGGTTATGGCTACCATAAAGGAGGAGGCATTTTAGGGTATTTTGAAAAGCAAAACAAACCATAAGTGTGAGTGTGTGACCACCCATAAGTGATAAAATGATAAAATCCCAATGGTCTGTGGCAGTCTGCAAATTAACCAAAAAAGTAAAAAAAAAAAAAAAAAGAAAAGAAAAGAAAACAACAAAAGGAGTCGTCCTTCTATTTCTCTAGTCTCCAAAAGCAGCCGTGGAACAAGCGCGCCACAGACTGAGCAGTTGGATTGGAGCGATGGCCATGGCGAGCGTTGCCAGGAGAAAGTCTCATCTCCTATTCAGGAGTATCTGTAACCCTTCTTCTGATGTCCTGAGGTACTCTTTCTCACTATCCTCTTTCTCTAGAAGCTTCACGTCTTCCGGATCCGAAGAGAACGACGTCGTCGTCATCGGCGGTGGCCCTGGTGGCTATGTAGCCGCCATTAAAGCCGCTCAGCTGGGTCTCAAGACTACTTGTATTGAGAAGCGAGGTACTCTCGGTGGGACTTGTCTCAACGTTGGCTGCATCCCTTCCAAGGTATTTTTCATTTCTATAGTGTTGTATTTATATCATTCTAATTAGGTGATATTCCATATGATCTGTTATTTCCCTTCTATGTTTGGATCTGGATTTATGCAAGTATTATATCTGTTGGGTTTATTTCTGAGTTGGAATGCTTGTTTTCTACTGTTTATGGAATAACGTTTCATTTAGAAATCTGTCATTAGACAGAATTTCGTTTTCTTTTCCCTGTTTAATTTTTTTTGTGTTATTTATTCAACTCTATGCTTTTTTTTTTTGAATTTTTTGAGGAATGCTTGACTTATGTTGGTTCTGGTTATGATTTGGAGCTCGAACTCATGAATGCTTCTTTGTCCCTCTAATATTTTATGGTAATTTATTGATTTTAATTTATCTGTTATTCAACAATTACATAACAGATCATTAATAGCCAAATTAGCAATTCGAAGGTTGAGTGACCACACTAGTAAAGCTCACATTAGCATACTAATTTGGGACCTGGTCATGTCTTGGAAGCAAGGCCTTGAAATCTGGCATAGAACCAAATTTTGACCTGGCTTAATGCTGGACCTTTTGAGAAGAAATTTGAGATCCTGTTGGAAATTTTAACAAGCGATAGGCATGCCTTAAGCTTAAAACTGAAATGAAAGGTTAGAATTTTACAAATCCCAAAGAAGTTTTAGTCCAAGTTGAAAGTAGAAGTGACGAAGAGAAGTCATACTAGAGTGTACATGGTGGGCAAAGAATAAGAATTAAGGTTTTGAATTATCAGGGAAAAAGATTAAGATCTGAAGCGAAAAAGAGAAAGAGGTGGAAAAGTTTACCTTTAGAGATAAAAAGAAAGAAAAGAGAGTATATGGGACCAAAGTCTAAGAAAGGAAGTTAAACCCATAATTTTCTGTTGGTCTATATGGGCCTTCATTTGGCTTATCATAATGGGCCAGCAGTTAGATTTTCACAAGTCCACATGAACCTAATGGGCCTAAAATGTTGTAGTAGTAAATCTAAATTGAATAAGTCATTGAGTTGAGCTCAAGAACAACCAAGTTCAGCCCATTCCAGATGCCCCAAGTGGTTAGCTGTCAACAAGTGGGCCTGACATGATTTGAATTTGATTCTCCCAATTAAATCATTGGTTGGATTCTGATTAGATACCGAAAAATGAGTGTATTCCTAATATTTACTTCAAATCTTCAAATATTTTGAATAGTTTTTTTAGCTCAAGTGTTTTTAGTTGTTTATTTGTTTAGAAAACTAAAATACTTTGTAGGTTTTAGTAAATCAATTGTGTTTCTCTACAAATACATCATGCTCATTTGAACCATTTTGTGAAGGAAAGAATGGATGAAGAGTTTTCTCTACTAATATGTTTGGTACTGACTCCCAACTTATAAAGGTTCTGATTTCTAGAGAAACCTAATAATGCTGGATCCATTCTATAATAGGTACATTATCTGCTTATTGTGTCTTGTGTATCTTGTTAATCATAATTTAGTTTGTTATATTCTTCTTCTTACCCTCCTTTATAAATGGATTTCTATAGTTCTCTCTAGTTCCCCCCTATCCTCTTAATATCCCATCTTTCTTTCTTTATTGCTTCTTTTCTAAGACAATGAGGTTATCTAAGAGATTCATTTGTTGTTGTTGTTGTTTCACCCATATGTCCTTCCTCAGCCTCTAATTATTCCTTCCAAATTGTCCATCCAACCCGTAGGCTGCATTTCCCATCTTAATTCCTACCAGACTTGTTCCCTTTTGTTTATTAATTTTTAGAACCCCTCTTATTTTCTGTACACCCCCAATTGGTTGTTAAACTCTATCAGCTCATTGGCTATAAGAATATCCCGGGTATGTTGACCATAGACAAAAGTACTCTGATAAATAGAGATGATGGAGCACATAACCTTCTTCATCCTTGTGGTCAACAGGTTTGCTATAATCTTATATACACTGCCAATAAGGTTTATGAGCCTGAAGCATTTTAAGTCAATTGCTCCACCCTTCTTAGGTATTAGTGTGATGAAGGTGGAATCAATGATTTAAAAGTCTTGCCTAGGCACACAGGCGAGGCATGTTTTAGGGTATGCACCCTCACCTAGGTCCTAGGCACAACACTTTCAAAAGTCGCATGCCTGGTGTGCCTAGGTATGCGCCTAGTGCGCCTTGCACTTTAGCCCAAGCACGCACCTTTTATTAAGGTGGCTCAAAGATTCAAGAATGCATAATGTTTAACATCACATTAGCTATTTGATGTAATACAATTGGGAAAATAATAAAGAGATTAAAAGCTTACATGCTTGTATTCACCATTTTCTCCACCTAAATTATAGAAAAGTGGAGGGAGGTAAACTATCTTAACTCCCCCAAAACAAAGAAAAGAAAAAGTACAAAATTAGAAATAAGCCCAAAACAAAGAATCCCTATTCACCCCTTGCTTAGCTAGCCCATCAACAATGGAATTTGCAGTTCTTTTCACCCAGCTGTACTTTATCACAATATCCCTTGCCAACCAGTTGAACTTTTTCCTCTCATTGCTGTATTTCCACATTTCAGTCTTATCTTCCTTTAACCAATTTACCACTACCTCCGAGTCACCTTCAATAATCAGTCTCCTAATATTCAGGTCTCTTGCCCTTTGAATCCCCTCCAAGGCTGCTAAAATCTCAGCTCCTAAGAGAGTCGCCCTCACCAATCGGGCCAGAGAAAAGGGCTAAGGTATTCCCTTTCTCATTTCTGAAAATTCTCCCAATACCTGATAGCCTTGGAGTGGATTCCCAATTCTTTGCCCAATATACATGATTACCACTTTGAGCCAAGCTCAAAATTCTTTTCAAACATGAAGTTAAATCTTAGTTTTGGTTTGCACAATAGATTATTTAGTTGATCTATTAAATTTATTTTCACTTTCTCTATGTTTAAATTTTGCTTAAACTAGCTCTATTATGTAGTTTGCTTGACAATTTAGCAACATATTATATTGTCTATTAACCTTGTTTATTAGCTTTGTTCAATGGTTTGGAACAAGATAATTATGCTTCTTTTATCAACTATTTTTACATATTTCACAATGTTTGTATTTTACATTATTTCTATACTACATTTCTGACATTTCCAACATGTTCCCTACATTTCATTTTCATCACCAATACTGACGTTTTAAATCTTGGACTGATTGTTTTGTTTTGTAAACCTTCAATATATCATCTTTATATTCCTAAAGACTCCAATTCCTGAATTCTTAAGATTGTTGAGACCATAGCAATCAAAGTTCATCTTTATTATAGTTAACTGATTAGGGGGTACCAATCAATTATCTGGGGATCTTACATTTGGAGCATATTAATTAATTATGATCCCTAATTGTATGGGGATCTTGCACCAATCAAAGGATCTTGGGTTGCCTGCACTACCCCCATCAAAGTTCAGCTTATTAGTGGTAGGTTGGCTACAAAAAGAAGCTGGATTATGGAGCTATAGTAATGAAGGGAAGAAGCTTAGATGATTGATACGAGACATGGATGTGAGATTTAATTGGGTCAAAAGAACAACTAATGGTTTTGCCAATTGTAACTTCTTCATTAAATTTGGGGAGAGTTAAGAGATTTTATCTCTCCCTCTTTGTATTCTATTCTCTGGTATAATGAAATATGAAGTTATTGATAAAAAAAATAATTATGATTAGATGGCCACTAAAGGCCATTGATAGGGCAAAATAGTGGGACATGATTTGTATAGCCAACCTCAAATAGCAGGGAACTTGGGATTGAGTCCAGTGATTTAAAAGGCATGCCTAGGCACACAGGCGAGGCGCATTTTAGGGTAGGCGCAGCCTATTCAAAAGGCGCTCACCTGGTGCGCCTAGGCGTGTGCCTTGCGCCTTTTGAAAATTTGACGCTTTTTCCTTTTCTTGAGTCTAGCGGCTGGGTCGGGGGCTCCACCCCTGGATCCCCATGCCACGCCCCCCGAGGCCAGTCCAAACAAGTCCATGTTAGGGCTTGCCTCGACGGGCATGGCACAAAGGCGGTTCGTAGAATTAGGAATGTAATATGTCACATTAGCTACTTGATTTAATTGAGAAAAAAGAGGTTGTGGGTTTTATATGCTTGAAAATGTTTTATATGCTTGATTTCATTTTTAAATTCTCATTTGAATATGCTTTACATATTATGTTTATGTATTTTAATTTTAGATAATAGGTTTTTTAAAACATTTATTTTAAATTTTAAGTTTATATTTTTATTAATATTATGTTTTATAATTTTTTGATTTTATTTGAATTTTTTGGCATTTTTTTGACATTTTTTTAGCTTTTTTTTTTTAATTGTGCACCTTGCCTCAAAAAGGCGCACGCCTCGCCTTGCGCCTCAGGTGCAAAATGGCCCTTGCGCCTTTCGCTTTTAAAACACCGTTTGAGTCTTACCCTTACTTCATATAGCCAATTAACAACCATAATGCATTTGGCACAAGAGGAGAGAGGGTGAACTTGATCCTCACTTTCTTTGGCTTTCTAATTTTTGTATAAAGGGACCAATAAAAAAATTGCATAAAAGGGACCTCAATCTGCACTAATAATGATGTCTGGTATCAAAATACATTTGGCTAGTTACCCCTATCTCTGGAGCTATTATCTAAGGTGGCATAACAAGTATTTGTTATCCCAGTGAAATGGCACTTTGGACCAAGCTTTGGTTTTCACAGCCCATACATAGATTAGAGATATTTTGTTTATTTAATTTACAATGTTCATCTATAAATACGAGGAGAATATCATGATTTCTTCCAAAGTATAGCCGGTTGCCTTTTATTTTGTAGCTGGTGTGAAGATGCCATGGATATTTATACAGGAAAAGAGTACATCTGGCTTGCTATATTGGATATACCGTTCTGATTTTTGCCTTCAATTGAAGAATTACTTATTGTCCTTTGTTCTCATCTCTCCAGGCTCTTCTTCATTCTTCCCACATGTACCATGAAGCCAAGCATTCATTTGCCAGCCATGGAGTGAAGTTCCCTTCTGTTGAGGTTGATCTGCCTGCCATGATGGCCCAGAAAGACAAAGCTGTTGCCAATCTAACACGAGGTATAGAAGGTCTCTTCAAGAAAAACAAGGTAAGCTATGTTAAAGGCTATGGCAAGCTCATCTCTCCTTCCGAAGTCTCTGTCGACACCCTTGAAGGTGGGAGCACCATTGTCAAAGGCAAGAATATCATAATAGCAACTGGATCTGATGTCAAGTCCCTCCCTGGCATCACCATTGATGAGAAAAAGATTGTATCTTCAACTGGAGCTCTGTCCTTGTCAGAAATCCCAAAGAAACTCATTGTCATTGGGGCAGGCTACATTGGCCTAGAAATGGGCTCTGTCTGGGGGAGGCTTGGTTCTGAAGTAACTGTTGTTGAGTTTGCACCAGATATTGTCCCATCAATGGATGCCGAAGTTCGAAAACAATTCCAACGTGCCCTTGAGAAGCAGAAGATGAAATTTATGCTCAAGACTAAGGTGGTTGGTGTTGACACGTCTGGGGAGGGTGTGAAACTGACAGTTGAACCATCAAGTGGTGGTGAGCAAAGCACTTTGGAAGCAGATGTTGTGCTTGTTTCTGCAGGTAGAGTTCCATTCACAGCTGGGCTTGGACTGGAAAAGATTGGTGTGGAAACTGATAAGGTAGGCCGAATCACAGTTGATAAGCGGTTCACAACAAGTGTGCCGGGTGTCTATGCCATTGGAGATGTGATTCCAGGGCCCATGCTAGCCCACAAGGCAGAAGAAGACGGTGTAGCATGTGTAGAGTTCATAGCTGGCAAGGAAGGCCATGTGGACTATGATCTGGTACCCGGTGTAGTGTATACTCATCCCGAAGTGGCATCTGTTGGGAAGACCGAGGAGCAGGTGAAGGCACTTGGAGTTGATTATCGTGTGGGAAAGTTCCCTTTCCTGGCCAACAGCAGGGCCAAGGCAATTGATGATGCTGAAGGGGTGGTGAAGATATTGGCAGAGAAGGAAACGGATAAGATACTGGGGGTACACATCATGGCACCCAATGCTGGAGAATTAATTCATGAAGCAGTGCTAGCCTTGCAGTACGGAGCATCAAGTGAGGATATTGCACGAACATGTCATGCACATCCAACAATGAGCGAGGCCTTGAAGGAAGCTGCAATGGCCACTTATGACAAGCCTATTCATATCTAGGAGAGGAGTGGGTAAATGCAACTTTTTTTTTTTCTTGTTCTACTTTTTGTTTAGATTTTTTTTTTTTTTTGAATCCTTTGTTTCTTTTGATGTCTCTTACTGGGACAAGACAATTGTTTCGATAGTCTACAAGTTTCCACCTCCACTTCTTTTTCTTCCACAATTGGTATATCATGTACTTAATAAGAGGTGGGAATAACTTCTGGGAAATACTGCACAAGTTTTCTTTTTTACGCTCTTAAAATTTAATCCAAGAAACTCTCATGGTATTAGATGGCTAGATGTTACACTTTGATTTAGGGGGTATTTGGTATATTGGTTTTGCTTTGCTGTTTTGTTTTGGCTTGATCAATACAAATGTGTATTTATAAGAGATTTTTTACCTAAAATGTTTTGAAAGTGTTTCTGAATTGATCGATATAAATTTTCTACCTAAAACATGAAATTTGATGTTTGAACTTTGAACCATAAATAGCAATGATCGCAGTTGCACTTTTCTAGTAGAAATGGCACTCGATGTGATAACATGTATCTTTAGGGTCCATTTGGTTTGCAGGAATGGCTGCTTGGAATCAGAATTGGAATGGGTCCAACCTCCCGGGGAGTGTGGTTCCATTCTAACATCTCAATTTTGTATTTTTGTGACAAAAATACCCCATCCATTCCAAACCCTAATCGACCCAAGTCCTGAACATTTCCTTCAGACCTTCCTCCTAAGGTTCAAAATATCAATACCTCCTAAGGTTCAAAATATCGATACCTCTGATACGTTGGTAGGGGTGTATCGGGCGATATCGATACCTTTTTTTTTAATTTTTTTCAAAACCGATTTAGGGGGCTGGTTTAGGGCTCTCACCCCCTGAACCAGTCAGACCCCCAATACACCCATTGTAGGGGAGTGTCAGAGAGGTCTCGGAACGATACGTATTGGCCGATAGGTGTCAATACTTTGAAACTTGCTTCCTCCAATATCTTCCTCCATCCAAGTAGCCGCCATCGACCACCATCTCCAACAAGGTAAGATTGCCAGCAACCACCATTTCTTCTTCCTATTCTTCTTCTTCTTTTACCACACCCTCTTCTTCTTTCAAATCAACCACTCCTTTTAATTGAGGCAAAACTGGAAATTTTGGCGGATTTCTAGTTGAACCAAATAACAATTGAATCCAATTCTGATTCCCGTCTGAACTAAATAGGCATCAGAAATAGGTGATTCCAATTCTGATTCTGGGATTCTCATTCTGATTCCAATTCCAATCCTGACCACAAACCAAATGGACCTTTGTTATTATTTCTTTTTGTTTCACGATAATAACCTTTGGTGGTTCAGTGCAACTCAAGTTGACACTGCAACTGTCAATCTTGCTTGTTTTTTTTTTTTTTCACATGTTTTCAATTTTCATCTGGTTATTCCTATCGGAGTTCCAACTTCCAACAATGGATCCCGCTGCACCCATGGGTTAATGATTAACTAGCCTCTCTCTTTGATTCCCCCCCTCTTTACCTTCCCCTTTCACCCTTCTCCACGTGGCAAGACCTAGTTGGCTCACACGTTTGTACATGAACAATAGATCTTGGTTAAGACAAATTCTGCTTAGACTTTTTTAGCATAAAAGCTACAAATAAGAAAATTTCAAATCTGATCTATAAATTTGAGGACAATAATTCAATCGCTACACCATGCTCCAATTTCTTGTCCTAGCCACATGGAATCTGAGTTTTAGCTTTTAAATATTTTATTCTTAGTGGAAGTTTGTCAATGAATGTTAAAAATTGGTTATTATCAATTGTATTTATAAATATTAACACTAATTATGTTGTTAATATTGCAATGGAGCTCGTATGAACTATGGTGTGAACAAAGAAGAGCTGGAGAGCCCTGTGGACAGTACGGGCTGTCAAATATAGATATAGCTAAAATTTTTACTAATCTTGGAGGCTCAAATGGTTACAAAAGGAGCAAATTTTCTATTGTTAGGTATTAACACTTTGAGGGGTGTTGAACAACATTGTTTTGTTTTTGAAATGAAAAACAACTGCAACGTTAGCAAAAACAATTTTTGTTTTCAAAAACAAAACCATGTTGTCGAATGTCCACTAAATCTTTTTTTTTTTCTTTTCTAAGCTGTCTTAGGTGGTTTTTGAAATCTGAAAACCAATTAGATATGTATCAATTATCCTTTCACTGCATTTTTGTTGCATATCTGAAAGGCCCACTTATATCTGAAATTTTGCTCACCATTTTTCGCTTATTACTACTACTGGTGATTGGTGAACATTGATTCTACAGGTTCTCGTTTCATCCTCCGGGCTCTTGTTTTCATTCTTCTTCTTTTTGGTGCGTGGTATTAACAGTATACATTGCAATAATATTCATATAAACTATGAAGGCTTAGATGATGAGGATGGTGACAATGGTGATATTTTGAAAACTTCTGTTAGAATAAGATTCAAGAAAGTTCATTACTGTTCATGCCTGTGTCAAGTAAGAGCTTCCTGCAAGTTAGTGACACCTGCTAAACGACAAGTTAGTACTGTGAAACAGCACGCGTAATAAATTCAGTATCTGCAGGAAAATTTGAGTAGGTTAAGCTGAGGCTATGGACAGTAACTACACAGCATTGGAAATTAAGATGTGGGAGGAGACAAAAGAGCCACGTCATCAGCATATGCTAGTGCTAGAAATTCCAAAGGGAAAGATCACTTATTGAATTGAAGGAGCAAATATGTTGTGTAAATTAGCCTTCCCCAAAATTAAAAATGTTTTGTACAAGAAACTATGCTTAAATTAGCAATTTTACAATCTTCCTTTTACACCTCCCAAGCCCTATGGGAAAAGAAGCTTTGCTGCTTTACAATAGTTGATTACATCAATTTCAATTGATAAATATATCAGAGACATTTTACAAGTTAAAAACTTCGTTGGTAGAAACCTACATGCTCATGGCTCTTGATGATGATACCTCTGATTCTCCCTCTATCTCCCCCTCAGCTACCTCACCGTTCCCCTTCAAACAGAGAAGCATAGATCAGTCAAATCCAAGATTAGTTGATTGCCAACAGAACCTAGGTGACTTGCCAACAAAAATCAACTAAAGAGAAAAAAAAAAGTAAACTAGAAAAAAGGAGCTTCTCATCAAGCAGGAATAAAGCCTTGAGCAGTTTCGAGACCTCTCCAAGTGAGTGTTAAAGAGATAACTAATTTTTTAACTTATATAACGGTTACTGTCCTCTCAGCTCTCATGCAGAGGACTTGATAAATAAAAGAGATCACAATTTGTAATAATCAACTAACCAAAAGTCTATAACCATTTTATCCATCATATTTTTTTTGATAAATTATTTTGCAATTAGTATCCACCCAGAAATGATATATAGACTATGGATACAGGGTCATCAGTAAGGAAAGTGGTTAATTACAAACAAGTTCCAACTTTAACTTAGGGGCAAGTCGGCTACGTTACCCAGATAGAGCAAGGACACGGTACCAGATGCAGAATTTACACTGAAAATTGAAGCATCTGACATGATACAGCACACTTTGCACAGGTATCTGGGTATCATAGGAGCACAGTAGGGGAAGACGGTACCTGAATGAAGGGGCATAAGAGAACATCCAAGAAAACATACCTCTGACTTTGTTTCAGAAAGGTATCGCTCCAAAGCACCATCTCCTCTAAGAATTTTTGCTCCAAGCCCTGGTGCATCCACTGATCCAACTGCCTCCTCATCAATCACAACAGCATCAACTCTATCATTTCCTGTCTTGACATCTGGAATCTGAGGATGGGTGATGGGTGCAACAAGATGATTAAATTAGGGAAGGTTATGGCATCAAACACAATTTGCCTGTCTATCATGCTTTCTGTCAGAATACTCAGCAAATAATTTAAACTAAAAATGGCGGCGGGACTTCAACCTCATGGATATAACCCACATGTTAAACATGGTGTCTGTGTATAGAAGTTGAATAAGAGTGGAGGTCCAGACACACCTCATACATGGCTTCAGTAAGAATGCTTTCCAATATGGCTCTCAAACCTCGTGCTCCAGTACTTTTAGCCATAGCTTTCTTTGCAATCAGTCTTAGTGCGTTGTCTGTAAAATGTAGCTTCACCTGAAATGAACTATGAGTCACAAACTATACATAGATCATTTCAACAGCTAGAAGATGTAAAGATAATGAAAAAGGAATAAAAAAGAACACTTACATTGTTCATGCTAAACATTTTTTTGTACTGTTTACCGAGAGCATTTTTGGGCTCCTTCAGGACCTATTTTAGAAAATCACAACATAAAAATTCTGTTAGTTTCCCACAAAGATTAGAAGAAAATCATCATCAACAATCCAAATGCAGTGGAGAGAGTGAATTCAGACAAATGTAGTTTGGTGGGTATCCAGATGGAGAGGTCTGAGGTGGAGGATTGTGCAGCTATCTTGGGGTGTGAAATTCGAGACTGGCCTATCAAGTATTTACGATTACCCTTGGGAGGAAATCCTAGGGATGTGTCTTTTTGGGAGTGGGTGATATATTTATCAAAGGGTTAGCTACATGGAAAAAATAACTATATATTTAGGGAGAGGAGCTACCTAATCAAATCCACCTTATACAGAAAATTGAGATGATGAGAAGTTAATTAGGGATTTTCTGTGGGACCCAGGTAGTATCAAAAGTAATCTCTTTAAGTGATCAGAGGTGTGCAAATCTAAAGAAGCTTGTTGGTTAGGAATAGGTATGGTAAACAAGACAAAAACAAGGCTCTGCTGGGTAAATAAATGGCTTTGGAGATTCACTAAAGAAAGGGATTATTGGGTGCAGCCTAATGGGTGGGATTAGGGACTGGCCAGAAATGCCAATGCAAGAAGCCCGTGAAAAGCAAGTTTGACTTTACTTCCTACCTTCTTGCAAGTTGCAACACATAAGATACAATGCAATATCTGGACAAGGAGTGAAATTTTGGGATATTTGGTGGGGAAGTTCTCCTTTTTACCAATCTTTCCCTACAATTTACAACTTAGCCAATGCCAAGAACAAACCCATTGCTAAAATGGTTAGCCTTGATGGGACAGGGCTGGTTTGGGTTTCAGGTTTGAGGAGACCTTTGAGAGACTTCGAAACAAACAAGCTGATTCCCTTGGTTAATATACTCCAAGATGTTAATTTGATCCCTTCAGGTATGGATGAGAGGGTGTGGGTTTCAACTGTCAATGGAAGTTTTACTTGAGCATCATTTTTCCAAACATTACTCCTTTTAAATGTGGCCCACCTTTTCCCTCTAAACAGCTGTCATCTAGCCCAAATCATAAATACATATGAAACACTCCAATGGAAGTGGAAGAATTGGTCTGTTGTTACTCAAGTATGTGTCTTTTGCCTGAAGAATGGGGGAAACACCATCTCATTTTTGAATTGCTCTATGTGTTTCAGGTGTGGCATCATTTTTTTCCATTGGTTGGAAGAGAATGGATGGCGCCTCATGAAATGGTAGATTTTTTTTTTTTTTATCAATAACAAGAAACTTTATTAAAGATATGAAACTATGTGAAGCTTAAGGTACAAAGAGGAGGTAAAAAGACTTAACTCCACACCAAAAGAATACAATGGAAAAAAGTAAAAAAATTAGCCCAAAAAATCAATTCCCTATTCACCCCTTGCTTTGCTAACCCATTAGCAAAAGAATTAGCAGTCCTCTTCACCCAGTTGTAATGAACCGCAATATCCCTACTCAGCCATTTGAATTTATTCTTCTCATTATAACTCCACAAACTGCTGTCTCCCTCCTTTAACCACCTCCGACTCACCTTCAAAGACCAGACATCTGATGTTCAACTCCCTTGCTCTTTGGATACCTTCCAGGGCTGCAAGAATCTCAGACCTAAGAGAGTCTCCTTTCCCAATTGGGCTTGAGAACATAGCAATGATAGCCCCCTCCTCATTCCTGAACATACCCCCAATCCTAGAAGGCCCTGGGTTCCTTAAACAGCTACCATCGAAATTCAGTTTTATGAACCCAGAAGGAGGGGGGACCACGAAGGACTACAGGTCCTCTTACAGAGGGAAGAGAAAGCTATCTCCTTCCAAGTTCTTACCAAATCAGCCACAGAATAATCTGAGAACAATTCCATAGTTTTCAACCAATGTGCCACCCTTAACAGAATTAGATCTAATAAGTTTTCAATGGTTCTTTCCTTATCTGAAAATATTCGTGAGTTTCTTTCTTCCCATCGAGACCAACACACTGCAGCCCTAATGCTTCTCCACATAGTCTTCCCTCTCTTCTTCTGAAGTAGGTCATTTGTGTTAATTTTTTCCAAGAAAGTTTCCCAGCAAAAACTACCAACCCGAGGAGGAATGGGCCTACTCCAAATGTTCAAATCAGACTCGGAGGCAAAAACTTTTGTGGCAATGTGTGCATGGAGCAGTCTTATGGGGACCCTGTGGAGTGAAATACTAGGATATTTGAAGAAAAACACAGCCAGGTTGAGGAATTGCAATTGATTGACCTCACAATGATAGGAGCTGTGCATTGGGCACTGTTTTGTGAAGAATTTCATGGAGTAAATCTTATGATATTGAGAGCAGAGTAATGCAATGGTCCCGGCAGGGGGGTGTTTGATGGGTGCTGTTTGGGTAATCTGGGGATGTCTAGAATGGGAGTTGTTACGGACCACCAGGGCAATATAATTGTCAGTTATTTGGATCAAACTGGTTTCTGGATGGCCCTAATTCAAGGTTTAAAACAGCAATGATGTAGGGTCTAATGAATGTGGAAGTGGAAGATGACTGCCAAACAATTATAGGCTGGATGAGATCTCAGAATCAGATTCCATGGCAATTCAAGCTTATGGTGAGATTAGCTCGCTCTCTAGGTACCAATTTGAGCAACCCATTCAATTGGGTTCCTAGGAATGCTAATATGTTGGAAGACTATTTGGCAAGAGCTGAGGTTGGAAGAGACTCTCTTGAACTTTAAAATGTCCCTAATTTCCCTAATATTTCCACGACATACTTCCATTTCCATGGGTAGCAACACGAAATTTTACTGAAATTAACATTTCCCCAATAAACACTATCAGCACTATGTGGAGTACAAGAAATAGTTTCTACGACATATTTCCATTTCCACTTGAATGGGTAGCAACATGAAATTTTTCTACAGTCAATATATTCACCAGTGAACACTACCAATACTATGTGGAGTCCAAGAGATAGTATTATAACATAAGTTGGGGACAATATTGTAGGTGCGTGAACTAACAATGTTATTGTCTACCTAACTTACATGATTACCACTTGGGCTAGCTCAATATTCATTTCAAACATGAAGTTAAATATTGGTTTTTTGTTCATGTAATAGATTATTTGGTTGATCTATTACAACCATTTACATTTTCTACGAGTTAAGGTTTACAGGGCAACTTCAGAATGTATTCTTTTTGTCTATAACCTTAGTTTCTTTAACTCATTCTATCATGAAGTTCTAAATCTTAAGGTTTACAGGGCAACTTCAGAATGTATTCTTTTTGTCTATAACCTTAGTTTCTTAGCTTTGTTTAATGATTTGAAACAGGATAATAATTTAAAAAGGTGTGCCTATGTTTCTTTTATCATTTCATAAAATATCATTCTATATTTTGTATATTTTACAATGTTTCTGCCATGTCTATAATTTTTACAATACTTGCGTACGATATTTCCGACATTTCTGACATGTTTCTTGTATTTGGATGATGGACCTTTCCACTGACATCGACATTTTAAACCTTGCTCTTGAATGGGGTTGGCCAGGATTGGGCTGTAATTTGTAATAATTATTTTTCCTCTTTTCATTATTATGAGGCTTCTGTTGTTGGAAGCTGTTATCTTTCTTGGCCCACTGCCCCATTGTTTTTAACAGCTTGGTGTTTGCTTATGATTAATGAAATGCTTTCTGTTATTTATAAAAAAAAATGTCCATTACAAGTCGGTTGCCTGTTATATTGACAAGTTTATTAGAAATAGCACGACTAGCAAGACATCATATTATACAAGATCCAGGGCCAAAGCTGTTGAAACAGTCAATGCTCCACATAAATCCAATCTTACTTCTATCACTCCAACAAGTGCTTCTAGTTAGGAGAGGAATACTAATCCCAAGAAGCATAATATAGAATCATCAAATTTAACAGTAGATCTGACCTCAGACCTCCTCAATGCATATGCATAGGACATAAATTGATATGTAGAATCAGTTATCCATAATCCACTTATCCACTTTCTGAATTCAATTTGCTTAAGTCATTATGGGATCCCAAGAATTTCTCTTTTCTTTAATATTGTTTCTTAAATAATTTTATTTTGGGAAAATTGCAGCAACCACAATTCAGATTGTAGAGAGAATGGGTCGAATGGCCCATAGGCTGCTTTTATTTGTTTATGTTATTAATGGGCCTTCTAACTAATGGGCCTTTTTTATGCTATGCTTAATTAAGTTAATCGCCCAATTAAGGGCCTCTCTGTAAATACCAAAAGTTGTAAATTATGTTTAATGAAAAGGGCTTAGGGAAGAGAGAATTCATTTGACAGTTTTCTCTCTAAACCCTATCTGCCGCCATCTTCTTCTTCTTTTCTCTTTTCTGCTATTTTCTCACACCTTTTTTCTAACACCTTGTCTCCAGTTCCAAAGCAAAGTAAATATTGATTGCCCAATCTGACAGAAAAATTTAGAATTTCCTTGTGGAGATTTTCTCTTTTTTTTTCATTTCCCTTTTCACATTCTGAAAGAGGCAATTCTGAGATTCAACAATTGTAAATTGAGAGTTTGAGTGAACTAAGTCATTTTATCAAAGGAGAAGACTCTACTAATGTCTTTCACCTCACCTTTGCTTTTTATGCCATCATATAAACCCTAGAGCATAATTATTTACAAGATGTATATGACTGGTCTAATCTCACATCCATGCACAAGCATGTATAATTATGCACATATGATGCATTTTATTTATATAAAACATCTTTTTCTAATTATATATGTATATATGTATAAAATATTGTATATATGCATTTATCAATGGCATGGCATTGTTGTATATTTTCAATCAACTATACTCTTAAATTGAGCTATAAAACATAATAAAAGGTGAACGTACAAAACATGTTAAAAAGTCCTTTCAAACCTAATCAACCTGCCCAGGCCCAACCAAGCTTGCCGGGCCCAATCTGTGTTGGGTTAAGCTCAGGTTGGGCCTGGGTTGGTAAATGTGAGCTTGACCGCAGGTTGGACCAGGCCCAAGCCCAAGGTTCAAGTCATAGAGTTGGGCCTGGGTCAACCCTCAACCCGACCCAACCCACTGAAATTGCACTCCAGCTAGGGAAATCTTCTCTTTGTATAAAAACCATTTCTTTTTTCTAATATCAATAAAATCATATTACTACCCATCAGAAGAAAAAAAATCAATTGTTGTTCTTTTATAACCGGAGAAGGTCAGTAATGAATATCATGAATCAGGATTCATAACATATTAAAAAGGTGAATCTAACAACTTACACATATGCATTGTAAGTATAAACAGTTTTCAGAAAGTTGTTTTGTATTTGAAATCTAATGTTTCATTGACAATAATATGAGATGCACAGATCAGTTGAATCTAAGATTAAGTTAAACTTTTATATATGAGTCCTCTTTTCTTATTCTTCCTTTTTTTCTTATATTAATGTTTGATTCAATACTCAGAACACCCACAGCCTGAGCTCACTAACTTAACGAAACTTTTGATATTACATCTGGCCATGCCTAGCCTCTACCCAAACATCCAATGAACGTTGACATGTACACACATTTACAGGAAAAGAAAAGGGAATCACCTGAACAAGTTGGCCTTCATTTAGAGCTGACAAACTAACTAGAATTGGAAAGCGGCCAATAAATTCTGGTATGAGGCCATATGCAATAAGATCTGCACTTTCAACCTGCAAATGCAAAAAATCAGGTTAGAATTTGCACAGTTAGAAAGAAAATTCTGTAATAGCTATTATTTAACATTCAAGGAACACTACCTAAGAAACTTAATATGTTTATTTACAATATTATAATTTAACAGATCCTGTCCCTTTGGCCTCAAACAATCTTGGTTCTCACCGATTCCAGTAAGGATGATGTCACTGCAGCATTAGTTAGTCCACCTGTTCTCATATTTGCACGAACTGGTGCTCCAAAGCCAATAGAAGAATCTTGTCGTCTGGTAAAAGCAATTGAAACATTTTAAACTTCCTTGAAGCTGCATTCTAAACAACCACAATAAAAAAGCTAAGGAATACTGCCAACAAGCAAAATGACAAGCAGCAGTACCTTTCTGAAATAGTCTTTTCTAAATCGACAAAGGCTCCACCGCATATGAAAAGGATATCTTTTGTATCTATCTGCCAATTCTCAAATTATATTAGAAATGAATTTCACTTACTAATAGCTAGGGTGCAAATGATGAATTTAAAAGCATCAAAGAGAAAAAAAAAATGCTCAATCTTTCAATTTCCCACAATTTTATGGATCAAGTGAAAGTGAAACTACCAAAACAATTAAACTGAAGCTCTAGTCTACTATACACCTCATCTTTCTTTTCCACACAATATCTTCTTTATAAAAATCTTCTGTAATTGAACAAAGAAAAGGAATCATCACTGAGAATCAGGTAGGTTAGTGAATGACCACATAGCCTAAGTCAAACTCAATTTAAGGAACTACTTATGTTTTCTCAATATAAAATGCTAAGACATCCAAAAGGCATATAAACTTGAAACTAGAAGCCAGGATTAGAAAATGAAGCTATTAACAGTTGCACACCTATATACAATGCACAGACTTGCAATACATGCCAATATGAAAACTAAGAGAAATCACCTCTGATTGTGAGGATGGATAATTGAACAATTAACTGATATGCTACATTGACATGTGTTGGGTGATACTCTGAAGTCTATGCTATTCTCTTTTCTAGGAACTCTGTAGGTAAGATAAGAACTATGAATGAAAAGGTAAGGTAAAGTATTATATTCACTGAAGGGCCATTAACTGGTATAATGGAATCTCAGGCTGGCAAGTCTAGGAACACGGATCAGAGTTTGAGGCGGCCACTTTGTGCATAAATGCCAAAGGTTAGGACCGAACCAAGTCTACCCTCCCAAGACCCTGATAGCTGGGATCAACATTGGGTAATGGCCTTAAGGTAAAGTATTATATTCACTAAAGAAAAACTATTTACAGACCTTTGTACAATGAGATTCTGTATAGAAAGATAACTTCTATTGCATTAAAAGATAGAGTACATGAGATGATGTACAGCAGAACAAAAACAATAAAAGTTTCTCAAGGATTACACAGGCTGGTCTGATCACTACACAAAGAATCCAAATAGGGCCCCAATTTTGCAAGATCATCTACTACTACATATAGTTCCCTAGATCCCCCTTCTCATAATCAAAATCACAACCTCTCTTAAAATATGGGTAAGTCTCAGAGGCAATGGAACTTGTCTCAACTTTCTCATTCCAAATTTAGTAATACTTTACCAAATGGATGTCAAAAAAGGGATTTCCTCCTTCAGATGAATAAGAGCAATGATGGTGAATGGCTTGACATAAATGGGATCAATCATAGCACCCAGTTGCAAATGCACCAAGAAATATCATTACAATATATAATGAACAATATCTAGATTGGGAAGCTTAGTTATAAGAGTCACTATTTCATTCATCTGTATACACCATTAGATGGAAATATTTAAATTTAAATAATGAACTATATGCTTAGAAAACTAAGGAAGCATATTTTAAATCTAGTATACCTGAATGTTGTCACCACGAGGATGCTTCCTAGCGCCCTTCTCAGGAACATTCACTATCTAGACAAGAAGAAAAAGCTCCGCATTTAGACAACCAACAGTGATCATTTGATGGTTTCAAAACTTATTTTCCGCATTTTGAAAGGAAAACACATACCACATGGGACTATAGTCTAAAGAGCAATTAGATTTGTCAAAATGAAAAGGCATGTAGAAAGAATTAAATTAGCAAAGTGACTGCAGCAGCATAAGATGACAAAAATGTGAAGGATTAGAAAATAAGCTTACTAAAAAAATAGATACTACACTTCCTGTAAAACCATAAATATTATCAAAGTGTGTATTCTGGACTTGGTTAAGCTCACTAAGTTCATTTGTTGAAATAGGTAAGGCAAGAAAAAAAGAGCAATAACAAATGAAATTGTGTGACTTACAACCTGGAATGTCTTTGTTCAAGGATACTCTACCAAAAATATACACAAATTCGTCCAAATAGTTACTCTAATGGGTTTTTAGCATTAGCAGGGATACTGGTAAGATGGGTTAGGATAAGTGACCTACAACCTGGAATGTCTTTGTTCAAGGATACTCTACCAAAAACATACACAAATTAGTCCAAATGGTTACTCTAATGGGTTTTTAGCATTAGCAGGGATACTGGTGAGATGGGTTGGGATAAGTGATTTAGGAGGTTTGGTTTAGAAGTACTGGGATTAGTGTATCAATTGTTATGCATGTACTGTGTATCTCTTGACCCATCTGGTCTGCTGGATTTTACTCTTGCCTTGTAGTACCAAAGAGATTCTCTTCTGCTGGTTTTAGCATTAGCAAGGCTAATGGTGGACTGGTTTTTATTCTTGTCTCCTCTGACTCTCTCTCCCTCTATTTCTCGTTTGCTTTTATTATCTTTATCTGTCTTTTCCTGGAAAAGAGGTAAGGTGATGGAGGAATGACCACATTATGACGCCAAATGAACTGATTATAATGTCTCAGATAGGAAACTCATGGATATGATTAAGTCACTCGTGGGCCCCATATAGGCCCCATGAGTATGGAATACTGATGTGTCCATCACGGGTTGGTTGTTTTTGCTGGGAAGCCTACTTGGAAAGAATACCAAAGAGCTGTTCGTCTCCTTACTGGTGTTGTCTTTGTAAGGTTGATGGTGAGAATTGCTATCATTTATTGATCTCTTGCTCTTTTGTTAAAGGTTTATTGGAATGGTTTTCTTCTTTGTTTGGAAGCAGGTGGGCCCTACCATGAGATGTGAAAATTCTATTTGCTCCTTTCTTCAGGCTGCCAAAGAAAAGGGGAAGAATAATGTGGTGTTGTGTAAGGGCTGCTGTTATATGGACTATATGGGAAGAAAGGAATTCCAAATTATTTTCAAGAAAGGAGAGGAACAAGGAAACTATTCAGGAGGTGTTTGCCTCAGGGTCTTCCATTGGATTAAATATTTTACTCTCTAGATGATCTGTCAAGAAAGTGGAAAGAAATTGCCTTTTCAGCCCTGGCCCAGGAGGTTTCAGCTCCAGTTTGGTCCCCTCCCCCAAGTGGTTTTTACAAAATGAATTTTGATGGGAGTAGTATTGGCAACCAAGGGCCTTTAGGTATTGGAGGTGCTTTTAGGGATGAGAATGGGATTATAATTGCTATGTTTTCAGGCTCAATTGAAGAGGGTAATTCTCTTAGATCTGAGATTCTGGCGGCTATAGAAGGTGTTCAGAGAGCTAAGGACTTATAGTCAAGGAAGTTGATCATCGAAGGAGACTCCAAGCTGGTGGTAGAATGGCTGAAAGGAGATAAAAATGGTTTGTGGATGTACAATGATGAGAAGAAGAAATTCCAATGGCTGATAAAAGACATGGAAGTTAAGATGGTTTGGGTTAGGAGATGTGCTAACTCCCTTGCTGATGAGCTAGAAAAGCAAGGGGTGAATAGGAGGAATTTGTTTTGGGCTCAATTGCAATCTTTCTATTTTTTCTTGTTTGGGGGAGATAAGAGAGGTTATCTCCTCCCTTTGTACTCTTTTTACTCTTTTTATTGATTAATGAAATCCTTTGTTATTGATCCAACAAAAAAGAAAAAAAGATAGGTTGCCCAAGAAGATGGGTTCATCTGGATTCTAACTAATGTGTACAAGCCTACTTCTTAGTTCTTATAGGGAGAGAGAGGGTTTGTGGGAGGAATTAACAGCAATTACAGGTCATTGGCAGGGTCCTTGGTGCTTGGAAGGAAATTTTAATGTGATAAGATTCTTACATGAAACAAACAACCCTAGCCACAGGATTACCTCAAGCATGAGAAAATTCACTCAGTTTATGAATTCTAATGAACTTAGAGAGCCGCTGTTGTTACAAGCAAATTTTACCTACTCAAACTTTCAAGAGGCACCCATCTGTTGCAAGAAACATGCCAGATGAGACTATCCTAAGAACATGGGGTTACTGCATCTTGAATTCACAGTCAAAGTGAAAGAGTGGTGGGAAGAGGATCAAGTGGAGTTTACATGGAAGGGATATAGATTCTAGATGAAGCTACAAAGGCTGAAGGCTAGGATCAAAAGTTGGAAAAAGGAGGTTTTTGGCAGAGTAGAGGAAAGATAAGATTGGATTGCACACAGGATAGGGGAGTTAGATGGGCTGGAAGGAGAAAGAGGTCTAGGGGTGGAAGAAAGAAAACTTGAGAAAAGAGGAAATTAACTGGAGACAGAAATCCAGGTGTAGATGGATAAATGAAGGTGACGACAACACAAGTTTCTTCCACTTGGTAGCAAATGGTAGAAAAAGGAGAAATATTGTTTCCCAGTTAGAATGGAATGGACAAGTTTTAACCAAGGAAGAGGATATAGCACTAGCCGGACCACTTCAAAGCCATTTATTATGGCACGGGTACAGTGAGAGAGAGCTTAGAAGACTTTGTTTGGAGGAGCGGACCTAGGGAGTTAATGGATGCTTTGAAGATAAACTTTGAAGTCTGGGAGGTAAAGGAAGCCATTTTCTCAATGGAGAGGTCCAAAGCTCCAAGTTCAGATGGCTTAATGACAGCTTTTTATCTAGATTGTTGGGAGATTGTTGGTGCTGAATTTTTTGAGAGGGGTAAATTTAACTTGGGAGCTAAGGTGACGTTTATTGCTTTAATTCCTAAGGAGGGTGCAATCCAACCAAGGATTGATTTTAGGACCATAAGCCTAGTGGGAAGCATGTACAAATAATTGATCAAATCCTTATTGCTAATGAGTGTGTAGATTACAAGAAGAAAAAGGAAGAAGGCTTGGTATGTAAGTTGGATTTGGAAAAAGCCTATGACTTTGTGGACTGGGAGTTCTTACTAGAAATCTTAAAACAAAGGGGTTCTGGAGTGAGATGGTATAAATGGATAAAGGGTTGCATATCCTCTTTTCACTACTCTATCTTGGTTAATGGAGTAGTTAGGGATTTTTTTCCTACTAGAAGGGGCTTCCAACAAGGAGATCCTCTTTCCCGTTTCCTCTTCACCTTAGTAGTTGATATCCTAAGTGATTTGACATCAAAGGCCGATGCTAATAATCTCATTAAGGGTTGGAGAGTTGGGAGGGAAGGTGTGGTGGTTACACATTTACGGCTTGTAGATGACCTTGTCGTTTTTTGTGAAGGGGAGAGGGAGGAAATGATCAATTTGGAGAGGGTGGTAACCCATTTTTCAAGGATCTCTAATCCCGAAATAAACCGGGGTAAGAGTTGTGTATCAAGAGTTAATAAAGAGGGAGAAGAGATGGAAAACCTTGCTAGGTTGTTGGGTTGTGAGATAGGGGACTGGTTGTTACTTTACTC